TTGTTACTACTAGCGATGCACCTGTTACTACTAGTAAGGCACTTGTTACTAGCGATGCACGTTCGACCTTTGCGTTTTTTCTCGCCGTTGTGGTGCCGAAGCAGCGACGTGATAGGCACGCAGAAGCGCTGCTCGTGCAATCCCCGCCAGGCCGGTTCACCCACAAACGAAACGAAAGGTTCCCCGAGCGCCTTTCGGTTTCAGGCTAGCTGATGGGTACGAGCGCCTGCAGGTGTGGGACATCTGAGGGGTAGGAAGAAAGCATTTAGATTGGTGAGAAAAAAGACAAAGAAACGCAGAAATTACACCGGCATAGACCCCAGATAGTGGGTGTATAGGAGTATAGGGAAAAACCTCATGTCATCCCTGGCATGACATGATGTCATTCCTGGCATGACACCATGTCATCCACGACGGGAGCGGTTCAATTGAAGGGAGCACAGTGCTGTTTGTTATCAAGGACTTTGACACCGTGATTCTGTAGTCTACTTGATGGCACCTGCACCCGCACCAGCACCTGCACCAGCGCGCCCCCAGAAAACGCTGATCCAGCACCAGCACCAGCACCAGCACGGGCAAGACGAAACGCCGATCCAGAGCCGCACCATTGAGAAGCAAGAGCCCCTGTAGCTTGCAGCTATCACGGAAAAAGAGAGAAGAAGCATTCTTGTGTCTAGTAGTTTGGAGGAATTGCTTCCTCCGTGATTCCAGACCCAAGGTGGTTGCATGTAGTAAAGACCTAAAGTCACTTCAGCAGTTTGATGCTTGCTGTGGAATATGCTTTGTACTTTCTGTCAATTTCAAGAACTTGCCTTTTTTCTTTCTCTTATTTTCGTTCTTTCTATTCTTGACGTGGTTGCAACATGTTTGCATGGCTTTCAGCCCCAGGATCCTTCAATTATTTTTCAACAGGCTGGGCTTTGCGGAGATGAGGGAACCTCCTCCTAAACACTCACCGATGTTGCGCTTTATCCAAGGCTTTATTTGTTCTTTTTATCACTGACTTAAGCTCATTTTTGCTTCTCTCCTGTCTTTGCCTTGTGCCATCTTCTTTATTTTCCTCTTCTCCTTTGCCTCTTGAAGACCGTTAACTGCAGGTAGAGACCGGAACCTCCTCGCCTTCCTCCATGAAGCTGGAGGTATGGAGTCGATGGAACCGGACAGAAAAGCATTGAAACAGACACTTACCCAAGAATCGATGCAAAGCTTGATAGTTTGCTCTTTGGTTGGAGGCCATGCTAGTAGGGTGGAAGCCACGGATGGACCATTTGACCATTCGTTCCGACACAGGTGATGCTTCCCGACACCAGGGATGTTGAAGTTCTCAGCGACCTCTTGCTCGAGAGTTCCTTGGGAAGCATGTGGCCAAGTAAAAATGAAAGAACAAATCTGAAGGACAGAAAAAGAAAGAAGAAAGGAACAGGGAAGAGGAATGAAAGGAAAGGAAGCTACTAACAAGGAGATAGCAGCTGTCACCCTGTAGTTCTGTCCGTTTGGTTACTAGTCTGGTTCAACAGTCTTCTCGAGGCTTCGGTTAAGTTTCCCTCAAAATCTAGGAACCAAATCGGGGTGGAAGCGTGAGCTATCTTGCGTCCGTATGTAGTAGCTTCCTATTGCCATTAGCTTACTTCTCCCTTAAGTAGACGCCTACTTAATTAAGTAGGAGCGGGCTAAACTAAAAGGAAAAGACAGTCTTCTCGAGGCTTTGCGGAAGTCTTGGAGCCTTGGATGCTTCCCGACTCGCTTGGCCCTGTCTCCAGTGTGTAGACCTCAGAAAAGCACGCTGTGGCAAGGACCGTGGGTCTGAGAATGCAAAAAGTGAACATCCATTCTCCGGGAAAGAGCTTCAGCTGTCACAAGTGTTTAGTTTTTCCAGGCGTGGAATTGGTTGGTGAAGGCCTGGGAAAAGGAGGCCCAGCTTGTTTCTTTTTTTTCCTGAAGCATTTCATCGCTTTGTATGCTGTGCTTGAGGCCCTAGCTTTACTTCGTTAACACGTTGCTCCTTTCTTTTCCGATACGACAGGTGATCAAGTCGACCCTCGACATGAACCACAAAAAGACCATGTCGCCAAGATGCACATTGATAGCTTTGCCGAACCGGACCAACCAAAGGTTTCCTGACAACCACCTGCAATTCACCCGTCAAAAATGGTTTCACGATAGATCTTGGAGGCCATTGCTACTAGGGTGGAGGCCATCGCTATTACGTTGGAGGCCATCGCTAGTAAAGTGGAGTCCATCGCTAGTAGTAAGTAGAGACTACGTACTTCATTAAGTAAGTAAGGGATGTGATGAGTGAGGGCAGTAGCACAGCTGCAGAGCAGCCGAGACACTCCTTTTTTCTGAGGATGAAGCCGAGCCTCCGGAAACCCAGGGGTTGGCAGTTCGAGGTGCCATTGGTTTTAAGCAAATGAAAAAATACAAAAAAACATGAATGAATATATCATTGTTTTATTCTTTGTTTTTTTATTCTTTTTCTGTCTCCCTTTTTGCAGTACTGGTAGCCTTCCAGTTTCGAGCCTTCACTCAGGGTGAGTCTGTGGGCATCCTGCTGGTTGCTGAAGGCATGCGCGATGCATAACGCACAACAGGTTGAAGTCCCAAAGACTATTGAAGTCCCTTAAGCTGCAGTTAGTTCCATATTCCACTTCACTCCAGCGTGGCAGGCGAGATTGTGTCCTTTCTGGAGTTTGGTGCTCAGAGCAGCGAAGAGACTAGTAGCGATGCACTTGTTCCTAGTAGCGAACCTTGTTACTACTAGTAAGGCACTTGTTTCTAATAGCTTCTTGTTCCTACTAGTAAGGCACCTGTTACTACTAGCGATGCACTTGTTACTCAAAATCTGGCAGCACCGAGGCTTTGTTCCCTACCAGCGGACGGACGAACATCCGATGATGCCTTGGCAACACTGTGCCTTATCATGCGCATACTGCAGAAGAAACTCTCTAGCAGGTTGGCGGCCATCGCTTTTAGAAACAAAAAAGGAAAAGGAAGAAAGGTGTAATATAGTTTGCTATTAGTAGCAAGAAGCTACTAGGAGCAAAGGGCATCGCTACTAGGAGCTAGGACGCTACTAGGGGCTCCTGGCCTTACTACTTGGAGCAAGGACGCTATTAGGTTGGAGGCCATTGTTACTAGGTTGGAGGCCACCGTGCGAGCTGTACCGATGAGGTTGATGGTCTTTGGGGGTGAGAAGAGTGCTGGGAAGCCCAGACGAGAAGCAAACTGCTTTCGTCCTTTCTTTTTTTGATTTTTTCTAATAGCGATGGCCTCCAACCTAATATGGAAACCAAGTTTCAATGAACTCATGTTTCTTGCTTTGGGTCCTCTCCTTCTCAGTGAACACTCCACTCAGAAACATCACATAGTCAGAAATGTGGTTTTCTTCTTCTTCTGTGCACTTTGTGTTTTGGTTCTTCTCATCATTCTCTTCCTCTCTTTCCTCTCTTTCTTCCTATTAGGTTGGAGGCCATTGCTTTTGGAAAGGTGGTTTTACTTTCTCGTTCTCTTCCTCTCCAGGCTCGACCCTATCTGCAGAACTTTTGCGTTTCGCCACGCTGGCGTCGCCGTGGCCTGGGTCGCACCATGCTGCGCTTGGCGGAGACGGTGCGCTGAGACGTCCCGAACGGTGCACGCTTTGAAAGACAAAGCCCTTTGTTCCTAGTAACAAGTGCCACGCTGGTAGTAACAGGTGCCTTACTAGTAGTAACAAGAAGCTTTTAGAATTAAATAAAATTAAATCTGAATTACTAGCTTCTTGTTCCTAGTCGTAAGGCACTTGTTACTAGAAGCGATGCACGTGTTAATAGTAGCTTCTTGGAACATGTCAAATTCGTGCAGATTCTCCAGGTAGTGCGAGATGTTTGGCGCGAAGACCGACTTTATCTACATGCAGGAAACACTGAGGTCGCTGGAGCAAAGAGAGATCGAAACGATAAGAAGAGAAGTCTCACAGAAAAGGGCATACTGACTTAGAGAGACTTGCAGGCCCGGAAAGCTGTCAGCGGTCACCAGTGTCATGCAAAAGTGAATAAACGGATTGAAGGATGATAAAGGGATGGAAGACATTGCAGGGCTTTGAAGCCGCAAGAATGCATGAACTACCTGTTACTTCTGAAGGCTTTGGAGTATGTATGTCTTTATCCCCCACAAAGACGATCAATTTGAACAACATCTTCAAACGAATTCCAAGAGAGCTTGTGTGGGGAGGCCTCGCGTGAGCTCTATCGCTCCTCGGGCTACCAGATGACAGGACTTTTCCAGAACGCCGAGTCGCTGGATCCTCAAGACCCAGGTTTACAAACTCGAACGCTCTTAAAGACCTACTAGCAATGGCCTCCAACCTAATAACGATGGCCTCCAACCTCTTAAAGGATGCTCTTCTGTGTTTCCATTTCCTTGCCTTTATGTTTTCCCAAAAAGAAGTTCGCCATCCTGGTCATACAGCGGGTAATGAAAGCAGTAAAGCCGGCAGTGTGCCCATGGAAGGAGTTGACTTTCAGACAATTTGAGTCCAACTCAGGCTACATATAAGAGCAATAACCTCCTAGCAATGCCTCAAACCTACAAGCGATGGCCTCCAACCTTCTAGCAATGGCCTCCAACCTAGAAGTGATGGATCCCAACCTAAGAGCGATGGCCCCCAAACTCAGGCTACATATGTCGAAGACTTTGGAGCCAGAGACTGAAAAGGAGAGAGAGTTCGCAATGTCCAATTGACGGCACTCAGTGCCCGCGGACATTGTATGCTGCGGCATGCTGTTGCATGCTGAACTCCCAGTTGGGATCACTCCTTCCAATTCCTCATCAAGAGTTCGGGTGGAAGTTTCTTAGATGAGGTCAGATACACAAGAAAAGAAGTGAAAGAATCGGACAACACTCGAAGTCGAAGTGCGTACTTGGAGGCATCCCGCACCAAACTCTTTCAGCTTTGTCTTGCTAGCCTGTGGATGAGGAAGGCCGCGAAGGGCTTTTCTGCCGCTACGAAGTCACTGCAAACCAGTAGCTTCCAGCGAGCCAGATGAAACCAGCGAGCCAGCAAAAAAGAGCTGGACGGCAGCTGGTCATACGAGATGCCTAGACCCCAAAAAGGCGTGAACGCCAAGACGTGACGGTGGTTGTTCTTCTCCTTCCTTTTCTGCCACAACGTCAGCCTTCACATCCAGAAAAGGGGGCATATCAGATGTAAGGCCATGAGAGTTCTTTCAAGCACTGTAGTTCTTTTTCTTTTTGTTTCTTTGTTTCTTTGTTTCTTTTGTGTTCTTGGATTTTTAGTCGGTCTTCCTTCCTTCCTTCCTTCCTGCCTTCCTTCCCTGCCTTCCTTCCCTGCCTTCCCTGCCTGCCTTCCTTTTGAAAGAAGGTTCTTTGTTGCCGTGATGTTGGCACCGGCTCAGGCAGCTGGTCAGCTTGCACCTCACTGCGTCATGACCTCCGCGTCGGGCACCACACGATCCGGGCCAGGAAGCTCGAGGAAGCGACAAAAGGCGACAACAAAAGACAACATGTTTTTACATCTACGGGCACCTAAAGCTACTAGTAACAAGTGCCATGCTAGTAGTAACAGGTGCCTTACTAGTAGTAACAAGAAGCTACTAGTAACAAGAAGCGGTTACCGACTGTCATTGAGTGGGGCCCATGCAACCTAGAAGCGATGGCCTCCAACCAAAGAGCGATGGTCTCCACCCTAGTAGCGATGACAACATACTCTTTCAGTATCGGGCTTATTCACGAAGAATTCTTCCATCATTCAATCGACAAAACGACAGGACCTTGATTGAACAAGGTTTCTTCACCTTTGTTTATCCCCTTAATTTCAATCGACAAAAAGCTCGTTGTTTCGAAACTGGACTTTGAGGCTCACCTTCTCTTGTGTTCGTGATGGTGCTGGTTGGAATCTTGAGGTGCGAGACTTTTGTCCAGAGCCCTGATGCTTTCTACAAGTTCTCAGGTCTGAGCTTTGAATACGGACGCTTCTTGAGGAAGAGTCCTTTCCTTTACAATGTATCGTGTACTCAAAAACTCTCCTACTCCTGAGTATGCTTGGGACAGCCTTGGTAGTGGCCTGAACTGCTCCAACTCCTTACTACTAGCAAGAAGGCAGACTGCAAGCAATTATGACCACTACCTCTGCCACTACCACTACCACTCCGACTACTACTATTATTACTACTTTATTACTCCTACTACTACTACTACTGCTACTGCTGCTACTACTACTACTACGACTTTTTTGCAGAATTTGCCTCTAACGGAGGTGCAAGTTCTAAACGGCAACTTGACTGAAAGTCTGAATGCCAATAACATGAAGAGTAGTTGGCTTTGAGCAGCCCAGTGGCCTGGGAGAAACGTTGATACCCACCAAAGCAATGCAGGGAAAGCAAAAGTGAAGGCACCGCAGAGGGAAGGCAAACAACACGAAAACCACTCGGAGACCAAGTGGACAAGAGTGTATAACCCTTGGAGGAGATTCTAAATATCGTCTGGACTTCAGGTTCATACCCAAAACCCCAACTGCTGGTTAACACTCTTGTTGAGTGGTTTCTCGAGTGGTTTGGTTTGAAGGTGATGCCAAACATGAACTAAACTGTCTCAGCCAAGCAACTTGGACATGGACAGACTTGTGACTTCAACGTGAAACACAGGAGGGTCAAAGCACGATTAATTTTTCAATCGACTTTTGCACTTTGCTTGAACAATTTGCCATTCAAAATCTTTGGGAACTTGTTGGGTCCATTTGGGGTCAAATTTCCCAAGCTGGTTCGCGTGCATTGTTTTGCTAAGGGGCACCCTTTCGCGCCCGCGCAACAGATTGATTTTCACCGTTCTTACCACACGGGTGGAAAAAGAGGGGCGACTCCTCGATAAAAACGGAACAACATAGACATTTCGATTTTATTTGTTTTTCCCTCGCGGGTGCCTCGGGCATAGGTTTATAGCAAGCTAGAGGAACCCTCTGTAAACAAAAGGTTAGACATAAAGGAAAAAGGTTTTCCCGAAAACAGGAGACCTTAACATAGCCGTTTTTAACGTAACAATCAAGGCCGCGCCTTACTATAGCACAAACAACAAACATTTCCAGGAATAAGCCGAGGTATCCTGTGGTAAAAAAGAAATGTCGCCGCACGCACAAAATACAATTTAAGGAACAGGTATTCCCCCCAAACAGGCACCCGAGTAAGACCGTCAAAAAAGACACGTGGTCTGCAAAAACAGGCAAACCACTCGGAAACAAGAACAACACATATATTTGATCGCGCAAATCCTTCAAACAAATAGGAAAACCAATACAAAAAAACCGGACACCGTGCATATTGTATGAACTATAGATACTTACCCGATCAAAAAATAGATAACACACATGACACATTGACTGTGTTTTACCGCTCGGGTGGTCCAGAAAAAGGAGGGTTAACAAAAGTACAATGTTTACCGTTTTTATCGCGCGGGTGGTAAAAAGAAAATTGCGACCCCCAGGTAAACAGGGTAACACAAATACAATTTTGATTTGTATCGTTTTTACCATGCGTATGGTACAAAATGGTGACCCCCACGGCAAAACAGAAAAAACACATTTTTACCGTTTTCAATAAGCGGGTGGTAAAAAACGACAAGGCGATCCTCCGGTTAACAAAAACGGTAAACAAAGACAGCATTTGATTTTTACCGTTTTTAAGCGAAACAATATGGCGACCCCCGTGAAAAAATAGTTAAAAACAGTTCGATTTGTACCGTTTTTACCGCGCTGGTGCCTCGAAAGAACCCCGTAGCCCGAGCAACACCGCTAAACCAGCACAGCAAATTTTGTTTGGCAATGATTGCACAAGGTCATACAACCTAATGGCGATTGCCTCCAACCTACTAGCGATGGCCTCCAACCTACTAGCGATGGCCTCCAACCTACTAGCGATGACCTGCAACCTAATGCCTAAGAGCAATGGCCTCCAACCTAATAGCGATGACCTCAAACCTGATAGCGATGGCCTCTAACCTACTAGCGATGCCTCCAACGTAACAGCGATGGCCTCCAACCTAATCGCGATGGTCTCCGTAGCGAGGACCTCCAACCTAATAACCATAACCTCTAACCTAGTAGCGATGGTCTCCAACCTGCTAGCAATTACCTGCAACCTAATAGCAATGTCCTCCAACCTGATAGCGACGGCCTCCAACCTGATAGCGATGGCCTCCAACCTACTAGGGATGCATACAGCTCATAAGAAAAGGTCCTGTATTTGGACATGCTGAAACCTAATAGCTTCAGTTTCTCTGAAGCTCTTGGAGCCAAATCATTGTTGCGAGCGCTTCTTCAAGGAAATTTCTGCCCGCCCTCTGTGAACTGTCCTGCATACTAGTAGCTAGTAGTTCCTTACTTACGCATTTGAACTGTCTGCAGGTTGGCGCTTTGTCCATGGCAGACGGTGGGGTGTGCTGCATCGATGAGTCGTGCACTTGTGATGCAGACTGTCCGTAGGTAGTTTTAGCGCCGGCAAACCTAAAAGCCATGACCTCCAACCTACTAGAGATGGCCTCCAACCTAAGAGCAATGGCCTTCAACCTAATAGAAAGTACTTTGCAGAAGTAGGTATATGGCTTGTATGACCTAAAGCCAAGAAGCATGTTTGACGGTGCAGGTGTCCCTTCTGGTTGGAATTCGGTTGAATCCCAGACATGCGCTCTTCTTAGGCGTTCCACACACATGGGCCTTCAGCACCTTTCTTGCCAGAGAATACAAAGCAACACATGGTTCAACAAAGGAAGGCAAGGCCCCTTTAAAGGGGGTCTTCCCTTCCTTTTGTCATCTGCCGGTAGTAGCGCTTTTGTGTTGAGCATCTATCTGTGGCTCCAAGGTTTCGCCATCTCCCCAAGGAGGAGAAGACTGCGCTCTATGAGGCAGAGACCATCTCAAGATCTAAAGAACATAGAAAGGACAAGAAAAGAAAGAGAGACACTCAGACAGACATTCAAACAAAAAAAGGTCTAAAGGTCTAGCAAAGAAAGAATACATAAAAACAAATACAATCACGCATTCACGAGAATGACCCGTCCATGTCAAAACTAGAAGCAATGTGTCAATACTCCTGTGAAGGAAGACATAGACAGGGGTACGGGACACACTGCTTTTGCCCAGCGCGATTTTTGGAGTTTAAACCCAGTGTCCGATCCACAACTCCGCTACTAGGAGCAAGGACGCTACTAGTAGCTCCTGGCCTTACTACTAGGAACAAGAAGCTACTAGGAGCAAAGGGCATCGCTACTAGGAGCAAGGACGCTCACAGAACAGCCAATCTAACACAGGTAAGCCTGTTGCATAAGTTTCACAGTTAAGACCGGAGCCAATCCGCGATGGCCTCCAACCTACTAGCCATGGCCCCCAACCTACTAGCGATGGCCCCCAACCTACTAGCCATGGCCTTCAATCTAGTAGCAATAGCCTCCAACCTACTAGCGATGGCCCCCAACCTACTAGCGATGGCCCCCAACCTACTAGCCACGGCCTTCAATCTAGTAGCAATAGCCTCAAACCTACTAGCGATAGCCTCCAACCTACTAAGCCATGGCCCCCAACCTACTAGCGATGGCAGCCTCCAACCTACTAGCGATAGCCTCCAACCTGCTAGCCATGGCCCCCAACCTACTAGCGATGGCCCCAACCTACTAGCCATGGCCTCCAACCTACTAAGTATGGCCTCCAACCTAATAGCAAAGGGCTTCAATCTAGTAGCAATAGCCTCCAACCTACTAGCGATAGCCTCCAACCTGCTAGCGATAGC